TTGTGGTTGTGTTCCCGCCAGCAGGTGCATGAGAAGGAAATGCCGGGTGGGCACCTTTATCGTTTTGTGTGAGAGACTAAGACTCCATCATCAAAGTCATCGATCGCCTTGGTTCTAATAGGGGGCCGTCCATAAATGGCGTCACGCGATTTTGGACAATTTTTGACCCTCCCCTCCCCCATCGTCACACGGCGCACAAAAAGTCAGAACCCCCCCTCAAATATGACGTCAATAAGCTCAGCCCCCCCCCCCCCCTCCAAAAAGAATGCTTCAAATCGCTTTAAACTATTATCATTGTAGTGCATATCTAATGTGGCGCTGCACTCTGTTTTAGGAGAAAACAATTATTAAAGTCTATTTAATTAAGTAGAACGTATTCTTCAGATGATGATTGCTTGTGTTGCAGTCGAAACGTCGTGAGAATTTTATTGTTTTATATTTTTATTATTTTATTGTTTCCCTTCTACGTGACTTTACCGAAAGAACCAAGAATATGAATCCCTGCAGTCACGAAAGCTTTAAATCAAAATTTAAGTAGAACGTGTTGTCTATATTTATTTAAAGTTGCGCATTGTGATGTGACGTCATTTCTCAACCCCCCCCCCCCTCATCACACATCGTCACAAATGTCTAACCCCCCCCCCTAGGTGCGTGACGTCATTTATGGACGGCCCCTAGGGAGTAAATAATTATTGCTATACGGTAATTCCAACACATCTAAAGCTAAACAAAAATGAACTCCATTTTTTTTAGAACAAATAAAAACGAGTGCTGTCACTGCTTGATTGTCGTCAAGTTTAATTAATGAAAAATGATCTGCAAACAGACCTTCTCCCACAAACATCGGAAAGGATAACCACTATATACACATAGTCTTTCTAGGACACCTAATGGTATAATAATATACAATGTTACATACAGCCGCTTGTGTACAGCGCATCGAGAACGTCGTGTAGATGCAATTTGTTATACACCTATCTTTATTAAGCGCAATACTTTAAAATATCGAACACATCGAACAGAAATCCTAAGGGGTATTGATTGAAATTCTTTTTTTTTTTAAAGTGTATGCTCCATTAATAAACAGCTTCGATGAAGTGAATAATATAACCAAGTTGTCATTAGTTTCCTAAATAAGTGCCAACCAATTAAGATCTGCAGGAAGTCAACAATTTCGTTACGTAATTAAACAGAACGCTTTGTTTACAGAACATTTGGGTCATTAATTCCGAACAGTAACACCACGGTTTTTTTTAATCAGCGACAACATTCCATGAAAGGGTTTGGAAGAACCTTAATATCACACATTAACCTTTTCAGATGACAAAAGCATTGTGTAACGCCATATGGTAAATCTTCCAAATTCATTGTACGCAACAGTTTTCATGCGTGTCCACTCCGTGATAATAAACTGTTCAGCTCAGTACTTTTTTGGAAGCTTGCACTGCTCTAAATGGTATTTGTAGTGAGAGTTTAATCAGTGCTTAATTTCAGCTGGAATGGTCTAGAACACTGTTCCGGAAATTATTTTGGCACGCCATGTCCATCTCACTTTTCTTTTGACCTGATTGTACCCTACAATCCTATACACCTGTCCATAGTATCATAGGATTATAGGGTAGAACTCAGAATTATGAACAGGCATACCCTGTACTCGAGTGGAAGTGCCCTACGCCAAAAGCATCTCCTCCAAGTCGGCCTAGCAGCATTCCGGAATTGATCGAGTCGAAGATTAAGTCCTGGTTAGAAGGAACGCACAGAGTACAACGTGCTCTTCAAACTATATTTTTTTTAGATTTTGACAATGTGACCAAACCTTCAAACACGCACCAACATTTTCACCAGCAGCAATCGTCGTATTTATCATTTTTCATGTTGGTTTATCTCGACCAGTTGTATTGAGTCTCCATCTGCCGTACTGACGAAGCAACATTTACAAGGTTAAGATTGAATTTGCATATCCAGTTGTACAAAGAAAATTGTTGGTAACTGCAGCAGTGGCTGCAGCTAGATGCTGTCAGAGACCGATTTTGATGTAAAAATCCTGTAACATACCGAGGTGGTTCCCATTTGACCTGAACAGACGCACAAACACATCGCTGTATGTACGTTGAACTTCTTTCGCACCGTACGTAGCCAAGCGTGCTGATCGGAGGTGCGGGGGAAGGACAAAATCGGAAATGCCGATGCATATCAATGTGCTGCGTACACGTTCCAGATTGGTAATCCTGACATATTTTGTGCGGAATCTACAGGTTTAAGATGAAATAATTTCTGATGTAAGTTTGCCGACTTGTATAGTTTAATTTTTTTTTGTAATTTGTGAATTTTGTAAAGTAACACCAGGTGCCCGATGCGTGTCACATTTGCCAAACGTGAACGTGAACGTGACGTTTCAACGTCGGTGGTGATAAATGAAAAACGGCCATCCTTGCACCTTCGGGGCTGCGAGAAATGCAAGGCGTGGGTCATTGTGGGCCACCTGGAACGCATTTCGCACCCTGACCCATCTCATCAGCCACAGTGGGGTAGTGTCCCCCCCCCCCCCGTATGCTCGCACAACAACCAAGGGAACAATGTCACTTGTTGGGAAAGAAACAACGAAATGCAAGAGGGCTGACCCACATACACACACAAACCCATGCAAATAAACATCATAACCCAGCCAAAGCAAATGCTAAATCGTGTTATTTTAAGTTTGTAAAGAGGTTTTCTTTTTTGCAGTCACTGCTCTAAAGGTGTTTCGAACATGAATGACGTGTGAATGCGCTATTAAACAAATGGTGGTAAACTGTTTGGAAGTTATTTGTTAAAGGGATAATTCCCCGTTTTAAGTCAAATCTGACAAAACGGGGTTAAGAATATAGAAAGTTTTACTGTTACGCAACACGAATAAAGCTTTGCTGGCGTTATTTTTGCCCTAAGTTTAAAAAAGTGCCCGTTTGGCAACGCCCCCCCCCCCCCAAACTTCACAACAGCCAGCCAGCAACGACGGAGGTAGCAAAACCCTTGTAAATAACATTAATTTTGACTGCAATTAACCACACTTAAATATAAACACATCCATGGCTTAAAAACAAACGAAGAAGGATTCTGTGCAATTATTTGTTACAATACGAATAATGTATAAAAACAATGACAACAAAAAGCCACAAACTCAATTTACAAATTACGATGACCACGATATCGGGGAGACAACATTTCTGCATCGATTAATCCAGACGCAAATGAGCAATCGTTGAAATTATAATACACGCAACCTTTCCATCTGCAAATCGCGTTTCAAAACAAAACAAAAATCCCCAACATCTCCTTCACCCCAATTGAAAGGGGTATACACATTCCGAACAAGTTATATTATTATAGTATATCCGTTTTAGTACATGCTTGTGAAAGCTTCAATTGAGAGAGCTCACGGAAACAGCAGTAAAATTGGAAGATCAAAACACGAAGCTCTTAATAACGGGTGTACTTGCATCTAATGTATTTTGCTTAATCTTGCAACGTTAGCAGCCGGGCGTCCGTAATAATCCTCACACAAATATAACCTAAAACACCACACCAGATGCGATGATGTTCAATAGAGAGAAAAAAACATTTCGTTAACTAAACTTTGTATCGAGAGCACATCAGAATTAGACGAGCCCATAAAACAGAAAACAAAACGAGCCTCGATTTAGCGCAAATATCAAGGCCGCTCGATTCAATGTTTTGTGCTTCCCTTTTTCATCTTCATAACCTTGAGCAACGCAAGGCGTGCGAGCCGAGGAAGTGACTTTGCAATAACTTAGAGGCCAAAAACGCTCAAAATGTAAAAAAAAAAGTTAACCGAAGTTCTCAAGTGCATTTCAACACGAAACAGCACTGTGGACTGCAACAACTGTTTAACATCACGTAATTATTCTTACAGGTCGTCGTCGTCGTTATTATTAAATTGGCCCTCGTGTGTCGACACGGTTACATCCAACGCGTGGAATGAGTCGTGTGCTTAAAAATGCAATACGATTCACCGTTAATGAGCACAGGCACACAACACACACACACACACGGCGATTCATTTGCACGAGGTTCGGACAAGTACTACGCGTGGTTCAACAATAAAAAGATATTTGTTCACCGTGCATTATCTGGCGTCCCCTGCAAACAGAGAAACATATTTACAGCAAAACATTCGGGAGGAGGAAAAAAAATGAAACAATAAAAAAACCACAAAGGGCAAAAAAAGTTTCCCTTTAATCCACATACGCTCAAATTAAGTGTCAAAAAACGTACTGTCGGTGTGAATGCGGTATAACTGTTTAAAAAAAGTTACGTCATTTAAAAAAAAAAAACGTTCATCTTGGCAACTGCACAGCGGAAAATTCACCGCGGTCGCGAAGCAGAGAGCGGGGCGTCCTTTCGCGCCAAGTGCACAAAAACTCGTCCCCACGCAAAGAGGGTGAAAAAAATCGATCTCTTGTAAAATTGTAATGGGGAAAGATCTCGACACCACTCGCGCTCGCTCGTGAAATAAGCGTTCTTCTTCAAAGTCTTCGACGAAAATCATCAAAAGAACAACAACAACAACAACAAAATAAACGGCGAGCATCGCGAAGACGCCGACGAAGACGCCGGCGCTGCGAGACCCGAGAAGTTGCGGGGGCCCACACCGCTGCCTCCAAGGCGCCCGGGGGCTGCCCTGTGCGGGAGCGGTTCAACAAGGATAAAGATTTCCCTCTAAAAGTACTTGAGTGTTCTTCCCACATACAACCTCAAATATATAAACGCACGCATACACCGAGAGTACGTGCGCGTCAAGTCACACGATACCGAATGCCTATCACAAACGACCTCTGGAGTAAACACGAGGAGACGCCAAAACGAATCTTGAATATTCATCGCTCTGCTTTTTCTCACTCTCTCTCCCTTCTATTTTATTTCCCCATTTCACCTCCTCCCCCTGCTGCTGCTGCTGCTGCTGCTTCCGCTGCCATCCGTCCTGCAGTGTGCACGCACGCAGTTCAAATGGGCATGTTTCCTGGGTGGCCCGGCCCGTTGTTGAAGCCCATGGGCATGTCCACGGACATGCTCCTCTGCCGGAACTGCGCCGCCTGCAGCATCATTGCGCCGTGCGGCTGCCCTGCCAGCGGCGGCGCCATGAGGCCCTGCATCGGCGGCATCGGCTGCAGCGCGTCGTGCGGCCCGAACAGCACCACCTCTCCCGACGCCGACCGGCTCCTCTGCTTGCCTGGAGGAGGTCCCATCATCATGGGCAGCAAGTGGTGGTGGTGCTGCTGCTGCTGCTGCGCCTGCTGCGGTGGCCCCATCATAGGACCGCCGTGGTGCTGGTGCACGCCGGGGTGGTGGTGGTGATGGTGCTGCTGCTGCTGCTGCTGGTGCTGATGGTGGTGATGGTGGTGGTGGTGCGGAGGCAGCCGTTCCACCACGCCGTGGTGCTGCTGCTGCTGCTGCGGCGGCGGCGGCGCCCCCAGCACGCCGTGCTGCTGCTGCTGCGGTGGGTGGTGGTGGTGGTGGTGCATCTGCTGGGGCAGCTGGCTCGGGTGCAGCAAACCGTGCGGCGACGGCGGCGGGGGCTGTCCCCTGATGGGACCGCCTCCACCGCCCCTCCCCGAGAGGTTGGGCACGCTCATGGACGGCCGCAGCATGCCCGGCTCGCCCGGACCACCACCGCTGCCCGCTCCGGCCGGCACCATGCCCGGGAAACCCGCTGGGTTGGGCTGGCCCTGGGCAAATACCGACGGTTGGTGCTGCAGAGAAAATCCCTCGGATGTCGGTGGGATGGAACCGCCTCCCTGTTGCTGCTGTTGCTGCTGCTGTGAGGAGGCCTGCTGCTGCTGCTGCTGCTGCTGCTTCATGGATTCCGAAGGGAAGTACTGCAGGGTCTGGCTGGGCTTCTCAGAAGGGATGATACGGGAGAGGTCGAACTCCGGGATGCCCGAAGCGCCCGGACGAATCACGTCCTGGAGGTCGGGGTCGCTGAGCACGGTGGAGATGCCAGGCAGCACTGGGCTGAATCCCCCGTCTGTCGAACATACACACAGAGAGCTGTCACGTACGGGTTCTACGGGGATGGCAAGTGGGGGGCATTCACCCCCCCCCCCCCCCCCCCTTGCCCCTCACTCCTTACCCTCTCTTCCACCTTGAGACCCTAAAAATGTGGATTTCTTTGATATTTACCAGAGGAAATACACCACCCATGGAAGTTTCAAAATTCAACTCCAATGTATGCACAATGCATTGCTACCTCTGTTATATTCATTGATGCGCTACAGTGATCAGGTATCATCACAAACACATAGGGTGATCAATAAATCACGTCAATCGACACCGGCTGTCATTGTAATTGCGTTAATACAATAATAATTGTCAAGACAATACAATATAAATATCATATTTTTAATTATCGTCGCATTATCTTACCTATAAACTGAACGAATAAACTACTGAAATAACGGATTATTATTTTTCTTCCCCCCCCCCCCAGTTCACAACACTTCCCTACTGTTGTCAGATCATCACCACTTGACAGTTTCACAGCGCCTCCCCACGCAATGCATCTGGAGGCGCTCTTTGGCAGTCGAGCCCAGGAAGCCCAGGAAGCCCCCCCAGTGGCAGCTATCCCTGTGTGCCACAAGGTGAATTCAGCAGCGGCTGGCAATACCGCTCCGTGGTTTTTCCTAAAGAGGTCATTTGTGAGTACCCTAATGTATCAAATTTTTGGCAAAATGTAAACCATGATGACACGGGCACAAATGGCCTACTCTTTCACGAACGTCACGGGAGCACCAACGTCCAATCTTTTAAGGTGAATAACACCGGCGGTATTAACGAGGGCAGGCCCTGGGCTTGAACAAGCGGCAAATGCGTCACCAGTAGGACGATGACACCACCTAGCGCTCGGGACCGACGGCCGAGGTAAACATCGACACGAATAACGAACTCCCAGGATTAATTTGGTTGCATCTTCCATCGCCAAAACACTGACAATGTTCTCAAATCGACAAAATGTGGCCCTGAATTTAATAATAAAATAATGCGAAATATGCTTTATTCGCTTTATTTTCATATGTATTATTGTATTGTTATATCCACGTGACTTTACCGAAAGACCCAAAGAATATTAATTCCTGCAGTCACGAAAGCTTTACGTCAAGATTTAATTGAGACTCGTTTCTGTTTTAAGACTCGGGTAAATTAAGGCACTCGTTTGATGCTACGTCAATTTATTCCATCTAAACTAAACTGTGTAGCTCTTTTTCAGAAGCGACCTGGCCACAAATGACAGCTCAACCAAGTGGCTTATCGCGTGCAAATCTAAAGCGGCCAAAATGCACTAAACGCACGTCGATTCTAAACGTGGAGGGGGAAAAAAACCAAGGAGGACCCGGAGAGAAATCCACGCGACCACGGGGAGAGCGTGCAAACTCAAAATATACAGAAGGCGTCGGGGTCGGGATGGAACCCACGGCCTCCTGTATACCAGGCGCGGGAGTTAACATCTCGCCACGGCGGCGCCCCATCTTCTTGGGCTGGTGGCAAGGCGAGCCACGTGTGGGGTAATCAAGGGGAACGGAGCGGCACGACATTGTTTCATGGGGGGGGGGGGGGGGGGGGGACACACATTAGACTGCCATTTAAAAGCACAAACCCACAGAAGGCATCAATTATATTTTAAAGGTTGGCCTGACAATTGCTATTCCATTGTCTCGATTTGTAATTAAGATTTCAATTACTTTGGGGGGAAAAATAGCTGCCTCACTTGTAAGTGGTACATTTAAATTGCGGTAATTATAGCCGTGTTTGGGCTCTTTTTGAATACTGTAATTTTCCCGTTCTGAGTTTTATAGTGAAATGCACAAGGCACAAAGTCCATCTGAAATACAATAAATGTCGCGAATGTAAATGTTAATCCAATATAAAGCGGAATGGCTTTCGTCAACAGTGAGATTAAAACGGCGACTTTTTATTTTGTGACCCTAACATAGAAATCGCCACCAACAACCACGCAAATTTGACATTCAGCATTTGTTGTTCTGGAGCTTCTACAACAGCCATCCTTTTATAATGCTCTGTATGACATCAACATAACCACAGTCTTTGTAGCACCTCATAGCAATGCTGCAATCAAACGTGGCTCCATTGTATGCACAGATTAAAGTCGGCAAACAAACACGACCCAGTATTTATAAACACAGTACAGGTTAATGTTTTTACCAATCAACTGTGCTTCTGGACTTTAGATGTCAGACCTCTTAAAATAGGAGAAAAGAGCATCCTGATAAAAAAAAAATTAGCCCAAGGCCCAGACAGCACAGGAATTCCCACAGTCTTATTCCGTTGGTATGTCTCATCGATTTTAAAAGTATACATTTAAACTCGTATTTTCAGCCACAAGTTTGCAAACATATTCAGAATGAAACGTAAAATCTTAACAAGGGGACACCTCCGTCAGTGAAGGTCCTGCTCTGTGAAATTCAATTTCTTAAAATGTTAATTTCTCCCAAGTTTAAGATTTCCCTTGTTGTGTTCCCCGAGATGATTAGTTTTGCACCACGAGAGCAGGCAGACGCGTCAAGGCCACAAGGGACGACGACCGCCGGTCACAATGCGACGGAACGCGTCCGAGATGCTCGTCCGCCCAGGAGACGGGAGAGACGGGAGAGACGGGACCGGCTCGTGCGCGAGCGCTAGGTGTATTATTACATCGCAGGATCGTGAAACTTGGCGGCGGCTTGGGGAGACCTTCATCCAGCAGTAGATTGACCATGGCTGATGATGAAGATGAGCAGGTTATGACTGAATGAAGCACAAATATTAATTCAGAATAACATTGCAACCAACTGGTAATTTGAACTGCCATAAAACTCAATACATGTATGCACGTTGTTATATATATTGTTTTACTTTTACTGGGTATGGTAAACGAAGGCTGAAGCCCAAGATCTCATGGACTTAATCTCACAGAGCTGGCATCAGCCAACCAAGCCATCCCAGCCACTTAACTCCATTGCATAGTTATTTGAAAATTGCAATTGTAATGAGTTGCCAAACACAAATGACCCACAGCCTGAGGCGCACCACGAACTAAAAATGTACAATTGCATATTTCATAGCGAGACTTTAAAAAAAAAAGGTTGAAACCACATTTAACAGAAAGTGCTCATATTAAAAAATCCAGGTCATAGTTCATTCCGCAGATAACAAACCGCATCACACAAGTGCAGATTTCCCGCTCTCCCGAATAAAGGGGAGTCAACTAAATAAAACGTCGAGATTAAACAACAACTTCCCAGTTATTCATCGCTCCTTTTTTTTCCCATTGCAACATTTATATTAACACATGACGACGCTCTGCTAAAGGAATGTCATTGCCAGAAACACTGTACAAGCTGTTGGGTTAGGGAGGGGTATCGCAGGTGGTGGGGGGGGGGGGAGATCTGGCGTCAGGACATCTCTCACATGAGCAGCGCGCAATCCATCCAAACCGCCGTAGATGTTCTAAATACCGCCGCGTTTACCGCCTCGCGCGTCATCCGCAATCTCTCGTGATATCCTTTCCTTATAATTGACCTCGTTCCGGCGACTTCCTTCCACGTGACCGAAGCCCTTGACACGTGGCCTCATTATCTCTGAGAGGTGCAGCCTGGCTTCAGTCAGGCCGGGCGGTGTGTAATGGGCAACGGTTGAGCGGCGCTCCGTACGGCCTTTGCCACGGAGATGTTCAAGTCTTCGCGTGCACCACGCAGGGTTGTGTCAGAACTGCCGAGTTGAGTTGGCAGTCTCCCTACCCCCGCACCTCCGATTAGCAAGGTTGGCTACAAACGGTGGAAAGGAAGCTCAACATACGTACGGAAATCGCCGTTAACAAGAGAGGAAGCCAAATCAACTGCACTGTGAACTATGATTAATAAATCTGCAGCTGTGAATAACGTACAGCTGCCAGTTTGATTGGTGAGCCAGCACTCACCGGTGGTAGAGTCACCTCCTGATCACTCCTCTATCGCTACGACCACGGTTACTTTTCCCGTGAACTTTTCTCGTCGATTCCTCCACGTGTTGAGGACTCGGGGTCAACCAGTCACTGACTGTTCCACCACACCGTGTTCAACCACCATACTCTAGGTCACAACAAAGACAAAGATCCCCCCTATAGCCTTAGCAGGCTGCTGGGGCAAGTGCTGTTAGCAAGCACCTATGACAGCCGGAACGGCACACGAGGGCATAGGTTTGCCAGCACCTCACCCAGCCGTCTTTGCTTCCCCAGTGGCGATATTTACATACTGCAGCAGGTACTCATTTGAGGCCAAGTCGACCTAGGGGAGGCCCAGGACCAGTTCAGATAATAAGCCACTGGTGTTAGACGTGAGCGGGCATCGAACTAGGGTCGCAGGGTTCGTAGCGCAGTGTACTAACCACTACACCCACCCACCCACTCACCCACCCACCCACTCACCCACCAACCCACCCACCCACCCACTCACTCACCCACTCACTCACCCACTCACCCACTCACTCACTCACCCACCCACCCACCCACTCACCCACCCACTCAGCCACTCACCCACCCACCCACTCACCCACCCACCCACCACACTGCAGGTTACCTCAACTCTCTTTCTGCTTCTTCCTTTGCACTGCTCCACTTCGGAATTTGCTCCCACAGCCTCTTTTTTCCCCAGGATCTCATGTCCCCAGGATCTCGCTCAATTTAAAATACGCAAATAACTGTTACCTCTCACGATTTTAATAGTGCCATTTGTTGCTGGCTGCTTGGCGTTTAGGGGCTTTTTTGGGGCCTATGATGTACAACTGTGATTTAAACAACTTACCAAAAAGGCAAAACTATCCATTGTGTCGTTCCAGCACTGAACGGTCGTTTCCGTCGGTGCTTTTGAAAGCTAGGGGTGTCTCTATAAAAGGATAGTTCTAATCATTTTCACAACATGCACTGGATTAATTCACCAGTTGTTGATCACACGGCGCTGTTCACGTCACATTCAGTAACACGAGCAATTTCAATTAAAAACATGTTTTTATCCACTATGAACACAGGACAACGGGTGTCTGAATTGCACCCCGCGTCTTTTACCCAGGACATAGGCACCAACATTGAACTGACGAAAATAATCAGCGACGAGACCAAACTGCCGCAAAGCAATTTTTAGTGCAAGTGGTACGTATACGACGCGATGCATTCTGAAGCATGTCATCCTTCCTTCATACATGCCTCCAAATGGATCGACGGGAAATCCTGCAACGTGCCCATCGCTTCTTCTGGCAATCCGTCCTTTTCCACTGATAAGAAGCCGTCGGAATTGGTCTCCTAGGAGCGCAGAAATTCATTCTATTATCCGCAGCTTTCCACCAATGAGATGAGTGACCCCCTGAAGTGGTGGAAAATTCTTCCTATTCACATTTATCCACGCATAACAGGGGTCATTTCCATAGACGAAAGTGGACAACTAAACTATGTTGTATTTACCAGGGTAAGGCCCCACTGAGCTATATAGCTCTTTTTCAGAAGTGACCTGGCCACAAATTATAGATCAACGAAGTGGCTTATCACATGGAAATATATATACTCTCAACGCTTGGCGATTAGAAATGTGGAGGGGAAAACCGGACGACCCGGAGAAACATCAACGTGACCACGGGGAGAACATGAAAACTCCAAATATACAGGGGTCAGGGTCGGGATCGAACCCACGACCTCCTGTATAGCAGGCGAGGAAGTTAACATCTCGCCACTGTGGCAATAGCAGCCACGCACATCACCAGGGATAAGAGGAGCTTCGCTCTAATCATGATCAGAATCACTGTGTAGTCAGCCAAGGCATAGAGCGCATCTCAGAGCACGTGCACCGGACAGATGGAGCGAAGGAATCAGTTCGTGTGCACGTGGCAGTCGGATTATTACATCGCAGGACCATGAGAGGTGGTGGCAGTTGTGGAAGGCCTTCATCCAGCAGTCGATTGACCATGGCTGACGGTGATCATGATTACACAACAATAAGAGCAGGAGAGTGGCTGAAGTACATCTACACATACAGCACCTAGAGCACGTGGCCATGGCTATGGTTCTGTATTGAAAGCTGTTCGGATTAACTGCTGCCATTCCCCACTGCTATGCAAGCCTTGCCACCAGATGGCAATGGGAACACATCTCATCTATGCGTTGTAAACAAGCCACTGGCTCGTCAGCGCCACACAATCGTGCGAAGCCCAGCTCTTGATCCAGAGCTTATCCTCCTAAAACTACTGGACTAATGATAAACTAAACTATTTTTTTTACCAGGTAAGGCCTGCCTGAGCTCTATAGCTCTTTTTCAGAAGCGACCCGGCGACAAATGCTATCTTAGGGAAGTGGCATATCTTGTGGAAATTTCGAGCAGCCAAATATTCTAAATGCGTGACGTTGATTCTACGTGGCGGGGAAAACTGGAGGATCCGGAGAAAAATCCACATGACTATATGGAAATTCCAAATGTACAGGTGTCAGGTTCAGGCTGAAACCCACAAACTACTTTTTTCCAGGCGAGGTAGTTAACATCTCGCCACCGAGATGGCGAAAGTACAGCTGTTATTCGCCTGCTCTCTCCCATACTTAGTTTCTCGGCACAAGACCCGCACAAAATTGTGAGATTCCAACGTCAATCGTGGTGAGCTGACACTCAATGAGTTCTGAGGCCACTAACGGACATGAGCAGGGGGAGCTAATGGAAGAAGATGGGGGAAGCCTGCACCCGTTCGTGATAAGTTAAGACTGAAAATAACCAATCAGATAAGTCTATGGGTCTCTGTGCGAGTCTATGGGTCTCAGTGTGAGTCCATCGGTCTCTGTGTGTATATGGGTCTCTGTGCGAGTCTGTGGGTATCTGTGCGAATAAATCGGCCTCTGTGTAAATCTATGGGTCTGTGTCAGTCTATGGGCCTCTGTGCGAGTCTACGGGTCTCTATGAAAGTCTATGGCTAGGAAGGAATAGAAGAAAATGGAGGAGGCCCTAGCCAACAGCGGGAATCACCAGGCTGATGACGTGCACAGCAAGCCATCTTGTAGGGTCAATTTGCATTTTATGCCAGTATCTAAGATGCTTCACATTACTGCTTGAAGATACACTGCATTGATCACAGTGAATCTCACGATCCCTGGTGTGCCTCATGACTTCAACACACGTGTGTACGGTGCGTACAATTTCACGTAAACTCATTGACATGCCAAGAGTTGTACTTCTCTTCACGGATTAATGAACCATGCTTTAGTCCATCAGCAGCCTAAGTGCCTATTGGGACAACATTTCCCAGAAGGCCTCAGGCAGGCAGCAAACCCTAGAACGGTTTCTACTACCTGAGCCTCATCGTCAGCGTTGGGCCTGATTAACATGTTTCTTGGGCTGTGTCTTCATTTTACCCAATCCCGTTCTGAGACATCTGCAAGTTACATGGTGAGAAGTCCCGTTCACCGCTGAATCTCGAAATACGCAAGCGCCTCAGAGCTAATTTTATTTAGAGAGGCGTAGCGCCGCCGTTTTTAAAGACATTGTCCTGACTGCAGAGAACTGCAGCGACACGACCACAACTCTACAATAGCTGGCACCAAATTGTGCCATGCGCCCTCTCGCATGGCCTTGTTGGGGAGCCTCGGTACCGATGAAGTTATTAGATTTTTTTTCCCTGGGTTCCGGTCCAATAACATATATGTACAGGTACATCATCAGAACAGAATCAGACAAAACATATTATGACATAACATACATCATCATTTGTTTGGTCCACGTACATCATCGGAAGGGGAAAATGTTAATATGTTTAACCTCGATTTAAAGCTTTCGTAACTGCAGGGATTCATCTTGAGGAAGGCTACTTGTGTTGTGGCCGAAACGTCGTGAGAATTGTATTCTGTTATTATTATTTTATTTCCATTCTACGTGACTTTACCGAAAGAACCAAGAAGATATTTAGCCTCGCGAAAGAGACCGATGAACAAGTGCTGCCCCCACTCTCTAAGTGCCCCCCCCCACCGCCATCCCCCCCAGTCTCTTACCAGTGGATGGCCCCATGTGCTTGCTGCCCATCATGTCTGGGGAAAGGCTGGGGCCTGGCGGAGGACCGGGCATGCCCTCGCTGGGAAAGGGCAGCCCCCCAGGTCCGGGCCCCCCCGGACCGGGGAAAGCGCCCCCCATGGGGATGCGAGGGGGATGCGGCGAGTGCAGGCCGCTGGCCCCGGCGGGTGGCTGGCCGTGGTGCAGAGGGGGGCCCAGGCGAGTGGGGGGCAGAGACTGGGGGTGGCGGGCGGCCATCATGGCGTCAGCCAAGGCGGATCCTGTGGGGATACACAGGAGGGGAGGGGGGAGACAAACGCGACGAGAGATAAACGTGTCAGCATTGTCAAAATCAAAATATGTATTTATACTGGGAGGAATCCGATGAGCTATAAAGCTCTTCTTCACAGATGTCGGCGAGTCCTTCGCCCAGCGGGGTGGCTCGGTGAGTTCAGCGCAAGCACGACCTTGTTACGTGACCTTGTTACGTGACCTTGTTACGTGACCTTGTTACGTGACCTTGTTACGTGACCTTGTTACGTGACCTTGTTACGTGACACCACTCAAAGTCACCTGGACGGGACTCTCGCAGCCAGCACTGGACACGAGTGGTGGTGGGGGGGGGGATGATTCGCCACCTTCACAGTTGTGCTGAGGAAGGACCATTGCCTGCAATGTCGTCTGTTGTATCTACAATGTATATATATTTTTACAGATATTTGTTCAAAGGGATACGTCTTCGTTTAATATGTTCAGTCCTAAGAGCTGGTACAAAGCCACGTTTAAATGGAAAACCAACTCATATTTCATGGCTTTTTGGGCGTTCAATGGCGCAGAACTTGATGTTCATTACTGGTTGTTGTTACCGGTAATCTATTCGAGTTGGGTGGCAACCATGAAGCCCCTTGAACCAACAGGTCATCTCCCAACACATCTGGGGAGGGGATTCCCATGGGAAAACAGCCACACAGTGAAGTGGGACTACCACTCCCATTCACACGTGGCATGAACGGAACACTCGGAGCTCAATTCTATGTACGTATGCATGTATCTTGAGCTTCTTTCACACCGTATGTAGCCAACCGTGCTAATCGGAGATATGGGGGAAGGACAAACAAACTAAACACAAAAGCAGCTCTAAAGAAATTAGATTTTTCAATCGAGATTTAAAAGTGCACAGCTCCAGTGGCTTCCTCGTATCGAAAGGAATAGCGTTCCAGACGGCCGTAGAAGCGTATCTGAAAGCGCGCGATGCAAGTGACCGCCTTTGTTTGATGGCCAGCCAAAAGTGCTGGATATGTGAAAAGCACAATATATATTCAAAACACATTTTCCAATAACAGCCAATCGGGTGAACGAGGGTCAAGGGCAAAGTAAACAGTAGGTTAGCGCTGACCTTCAATACCCCTGCCACTCTAAGGTCAAGAGAACATCTCATTTGGATTTCCTAAATCACAACTGCTGAGAGCGACTGAACAATCCGTGAGGTGTGGGAAAACAAGCGCAGAGTGTAACAGGCTCCCCCATGCCAGTTTATTCCCAGAAAGTCTACAGTGGATGATATAGATTCCAACAGTGCCGGAGCACCACGTGAGTTTATACAGCATCTACAAATGCATCTAAATAAGCTGTACAACATAATGCTAAGAGGGAAGACCTTCCTCTTCTCTTACCCAAGACCGACAGTCGATTATCTAAGAGAATAAAATTCATTACGCAAACGCACGCCGTTTGCCCGCGATGCACACCCCGCCATTCTGTTTGGCGTCTTAAGATACGGTTGCGTTTAAGCTCCGAAAAATATGAATCCAATTGCGTTGTATCGTAGCATCGAACAAGCCAGGACGTAATTTTGCGCCAAATGGGCCAATGTGTTCAACCACCACACGCACAGAGAGACTGAAGGGTCGCGACGTTGAATTCGCCTGCTTCTTCCCTCGCACTGCGTGAACCTTGGAATTCACTCCCGTCGGCACTTTTCCCAAGTTGTCGTGACCAATTGGAGGAGCGCGTAAGACATGGCTCTCGAAATGTCACGCTTTTTAAGTAGGGGCCTACGTTAAAAAAACGTGCGCAATGTATTTACTCTGGTGAATATCAATAAAGTACAAATACCAAAATATATTCACAGGGCCTCAGGGGTAGGGGTTGCAATCGCTCGGCCCCAATGCCCCCATGCCCCTTAGATCCACCAGTGGCGTATTCACTACTTTAAGAACGCTGTTTGTTGCTGGCCGAGAGCGGCTGATCTTTGCGCTCAGCGATCGTGATAAAAAAAACCATTGCACCCAAACCATAAACTGTCCCTCCCGCCTCCGCCCGCCCGAAACCCTCCCAGTCCACCCATTTCTGTAAGTGCTGGACATGTGAAAATCCAAATATATATTAAAGACACATTGTATGGGACGTGGTAGAGAACTAAAACTATGAACTAAACATTTTTTTTTATTTTACCAGGTAAGGCCTACTGAGCTATGTAGCTCATTTTCACCTGGCCACAAATGATAGTTCAACGAAGTGGCTTATCATGTGGAAATGTATAGCTGTCAAATACTTGCATGCTTATAAACATTGGAGGGAAACACCGGAGGATCTGTAGAAAAATCCACGTGACCATAGGCAGAGCATGCAAACTCCAAATATACAGGCGTCAGGGTCGGGAACAAACCTGCGACTTCCTGTACACTGGGCGAGGCATTAAACGTCTCACCACCAAGACGTAAGGCAACACTAGATTGACTCTCCCTTCGAATTTCAGATGGACACGGAGAAAATCTTTTATTCCCACATGCTTCCTAGGCAACTGTCTCCTAAACCTCCATCCGTTGAGCGCCAAAGTGACCTCCAATCAGCATCTGCAGCTGCTCCATTATTAATTTATCCCAACCGGGGGGGGGGGGGGGGGGGGGGGGGGGAGCGCGTACAGTGAGGGAAAAAAGTATTTGATCCCCTGCTGATTTTGTACGCTTGCCCACTGACAAAGAAATGATCAGTCTATAATTTTAACGGTAGGTTTATTTGAACAGTGAGAGACAGAATAACAACAAAAAAATCCAGAAAAACGCATGTCAAAAATGTTATAAATTGATTTGCATTTTAATGAGGGAAATAAGTTTTTGACCCCCTCTCAATCATAAATATTTCTGGCTCCCAGGTGTCTTTCATACAGGTAACGAGCTGAGATTAGGAGCACTCTTAAAGGGAGTGCTCCTAATCTCAGCTTGTTACCTGTATAAGAGACACCTGTCCACAGAAGCAATCAATCAATCAGATTCCAAACTCTCCACCATGGCCAAGACCAAAGAGCTCTCCAAGGATGTCAGGGAAAATATTGTAGACCTACACAAGGCTGGAATGGGCTACAAGACCATTGCCAAGCAGCTTGGTGAGAAGGTGACAACAGTTGGTGCGATTATTCGCAAATGGAAGAAACACAAAAGAACTGTCAATCTCCCTCGGCCTGGGGCGCCATGCAAGATCTCACCTCGTGGAGTTGCAATGATCATGAGAACGGTGAGGAATCAGCCCAGAACTACACGGGAGGATCTTGTCAATGATCTCAAGGCAGCTGGGACCATAGTCACCAAGAAAACAATTGGTAACACACTCCGCCGTGAAGGACTGAAATCCTGCAGCGCCCGCAAGGTCCCCCTGCTCAAGAAAGCACATATACATGCCCGTCTGAAGTTTGCGAATAAACATCTGAATGATTCAGAGGACAACTGGGTGAAAGTGTTGTGGTCAGATGAGACCAAAATGGAGCTCTTTGGCATCAACTCGCTGTGTTTGGAGGAGGAGGAATGTTGCCTATGACCCCAAGAACACCATCCCCACCGTCAAACATGGAGATGGAAACATTATGCTTTGGGGGTGTTTTCCTAAGGTGACAGGACAACTTCACCGCATCAAAGGGACGATAGACGGGGCCATGTACCGGCAAATCTTGGGTGAGAACTTCCTTCCCTCAGCCAGGGTATTGAAAATGGGTCGTGGATGGGTATTCCAGCATGGCAATGACCCAAAACACACGGCCAAGGCAACAAAGGAGTGGCTCAAGAAGAAGCACATTAAGGTCCTGGAGTGGCCTAGCCAGTCTCCAGACCTTAATCCCATAGAAAATCTATGGAGGGAGCTGAAGGTTCGAGTTGCCAAACGTCAGCCTCGAAACCTTAATGACTTGGAGAAGATCTGCAGAGGAGTGGGACAAAATCCCTCCTGAGATGTGTGCAAACTTGGCAGCCAACTACAAAAAAAACGTCTGACCTCTGTGATTGCCAACAAGGGTTTTGCCACCAAGTACTAAGACATGTTTTGCAGAGGGGTCAAATACTTATTCTTAGTTCTTTCGGTAAAGTCACGTTGAAGGGAAACAATAAAATAATAAAATATATATAAAACAATAAAAAAAATCACGACGTTTCGACCATAACACAAACGGTCGTCTTCATTATAATGCAAATCAATTCATAACATTTTTGACATGCGTTTTTCTGGATTTTTGTTGTTGTTATTCTGTCTCTCACTGTTCAAATAAACCTACCATTAAAATTATAGACTGATCATTTCTTTGTCAGTGGGCAAACGCACAAAATCAGCAGGGGATCAAATACTTTTTCCCTCACTGTATGGTGGTGTGACGAGACGTAACGACGTTTAAAAGCTAATGCGCGGAACATCACAATCTCTTTTACACACTTGTAATGGGGGCTTATGTTTGCAGGAAAATAATTTCATTAAAACTGGCAAAGGAGAAAAAAAATCCAATTAACCGTCATCTTATTGAACAAGTAATTAATATTTCCAACTTTTTTTCTCTCTATCTCTCTCTCCCCCTCCCCCGAGCGTCTCCACCAGCTGAGTGGATGTATCACCTCCTAATTAGATTCAAAATAATTGCTGCTCGCGTGTTGTTCAGCAGGAAACGGGATGTAATGGTAAAGAGACCGAAAATAGACAGTAACACCCCTGAGGATGCGGATAAATAGGAGAGGCTTACATTGCCCGCGATTGCACTTTAGCTGAAGAGTGAACGGAGAGGCGCGCATGTGAGAGCTTGAATTGTTACGACCGCAGGGCCCCAATGCAGTCATCGGTACTGCATCGTGATCGTTCAGCCAGCAGTGGATGGAAATCGCCTGACAATCGCGATGCTCCTCATCGCAGTGACAGTGTCTCAGCGGTTCACGATCGGAATAACGCGAGTTGAAATCCTGGGTGGGGGTTTTGACTCGGCCCATCATCCCCCCAGGTTGTGGGCAAGTCAACAGTGGATGTCGTCCTA